AATAATTACTTTTCTTTTTTTATATTATACTACAAATTTATTTTAGATTTAAAACATCACATCAATATCTATTTATATCACATTAAACAACTATTCAAACTCAAATTTGTTACTATTCAAAAATTCAAACCCAAAAATCCAAATCCACAAACAAACATACCCCATTTTTATTTTTTTTAGTCCTCAATCTGGTTTTTTTTTTTTTTTTTTAGTTCTCAATCTGGTTATTTAAACCCACTCTGTCTATATATTTATCAAATTTTTATTGTTTTCACAAATGTGATTAATTAATGTGAATAAGTTCGAATGAATTTGCAATCTAAATTTGTATTCAATATTTAATTTGCAATGTGGAAACATATATATATATAGATATGCAGCTCGAGAAGAATCTTATTCACAACTTTTTTTTTTTTTTAATCTTCAGATTTCAATTTAATACTCTCTCCGTCCCATTGAAAGGTTATCATTTTTCATTTTCGTCCGTTTCAAAACAAGATTACAATTTCTTAATTTAGTCCTTGTACTACCTACCTAACATATTAAATACCCTTTCAACTTATACTATATTACAAATATAGCGGAGATAAGGAACGTGTAATTCTTATTTTCATCATTTAAATATTTCTTTTTTATTATTTTTAAAATATCTAAAACTTTTAATTATAAAAAGTAAAAATATTTAAATATGTATTTAAAATATTATATAAAAAAATTATTTATATTCAATTTTTAGTTATTATTAAAATTTTAATACTCATGATATACAATTAGTCGGTTTACCCAATATTTTTCAATTGAACAATTTTTCATAAATGTTATTTAAAAAATACAAATGTACACACATTAATATAATATATACATTCTTCAATCTAAAAAATTAATCATCCAACACAAAATATTATTTTTTATATTATCAATACAGTTCCTCGTACCATGCAAAAAAATTAATTTATCTAAAAATGCTAAATATACATATTAAATATGTTTGATTTTGATTTCAAATTAAAATCATCATTATTTAATTAGGTAATTATCAATAAAAATATATTACTCCCTTCGTCCCAATACAATAGTCTTGTTTACTATTTTTGTCCGTCCCAAAACAATAGTCTCATTTCCATAGATAATCATATCACTATAAAACTACCATTACTTTTTCATTATTATTACACAATTGTCACTACTTTTTACATTAATACACTCACAAGGGCAAAAAAATTCTTCTACCCTTATTTTTTATCAACTACCAATATAATATCAATATTTCTCAAATTCCGTGTCAAACATAACTCAAACTATAGTTTTGGGACGGATAGAGTATTATTTTTATAAAATGTTATGTAAAATTATCATTTAAAGCAAAAATTTAAATAAAAATTTCAAACAAACCCCTCGGGTGTGTTTTTGTTGTGTGGTTTAAATTTATTTAAATTTTAAATAGAAAAAGAAAATTGAATGTAAAATTTAAATTCAATATAATATACTATCTCCGTTCAAGCGTAATATGTACAAATATGTCCAAATTATTGTAGATACAAAAATTTAGTTAAAGTATATAGATCTGTTTACTTGTAAGATTTTAAGTCTGATTTTACTATTTCAATTTTTTTTTTTTCTCAAAAACATCAAATCAAACACTCAATTCTTATTTATTTTATTACACTAAAATCTAATTTTACATTCAAAACATCACATCAACACATATTTATATCACATCAAACAACTATTTCAATTCAAAATTTTACTATTCAAAATCAAAACTCAAAACCAAAACCTTACAAGTAAACACACCTGGATAACTAAATAGTTTAATTAAGATTGAAAAATAATAAATTATAGAATTTAAAATGTGGTTAAAATGTATAATTATATTTTAGAAAAAAAAAAAACAAATTATATGAGATACGGACGGAGTCATAATTCCCAAAAATTCTTGGATTATATATTTAAATTAATGTTATTTATATAAACAAGGTTAAATTGCACAAAATGTTTTGCGCAAAATTTCTCGTACTTTCAGAATTGCGTCAAATCGTAATTTTAAAAACTCTGCGTCTAACCCCTTGACCATCCTTATTTAATTGTGTTTAATCTACGAGCTCAAACTGCGAATGAATTTCAAATTACTAATTTCTAAACTTCTAAGGTTATAAATATATTCATTTTTTTTTTATCTAACTTTAAAGAACATTTAAAAAAAACTTTAAAATCAGAGAAAAAAAACTATTTTTAATATATTTACAGTTTCTTGAGGTTAAATAATAAAATATTGAATATATTTGTAATTTCAAGGATTTTGAAATAAAAGTTCTAAAACTTATTTGCATTTTCGGCGTGTGAAAGTCAAACACCGTTAAATAAGGATGACCGATGCGGTTAGACACAGAATTAATGAAATCACAAATGAGTTTGATGCAATTTTGAAAATAAAAAATTTTTTTACACAATTTCGTAAAACTACACGTGAGTTTTGCGCAATTTAGTGTATAAATAAATAATGTTCCATGATTGTGTTGTCCCTCCAACCTAATTACGAAGAGGCCAAACCACTTTGCTTGTGATGATCCCATTCTAACTTCCTACATATTCTTTCTCGGACAACGGATTGGATTTCATTTAGGGATGTCAAATGGGACGGGTTAGCCTCGGACTCGGTCTTAATGGGACGGATTTGAGTTTTTTAAAATTTGATTCGGAGCGGGTTGTAAATTTTGAGTTTTAGATCCGGGCGGGTTCGGGACGGATTACGAGTTTTACTAAAAATCCGTTTCTCTCCGGACCCGGATCTGAACTCGAATATTTTAATAATTATTATAATTTATTTATATTTTTATACAATATAAATTAAATTATTTGTTTATTTTAAAAATTTTAAACATAAAATAGAACATTAATTCTAAATCAAATTTGTTTTAACATTTGTTTCTTCTACGTTTCTCTTTATAATCATGACTACTACTGACTGCCATTACTGCAAACTATTGTCAATATGTATGTTATTGTTCTTATTTTTAAAACTATAAATTTTTGGTACTTTGACGCCTATTCTTTTTAGTATCATATTATTTTTAAAAAAGTTATATTTTTTTTCTTAAAAAAAGCTGGTTTGTCGGGTTGCTCCGAACCCGAAGGGTTCGGGACGGGACGGGTCCTGGGGCCGGGTTGAAGCGGGGCGGGGCGGATTTTGAGTCATGATATTTTCTAGCGGAACGGGTTTCGGGGCCTGCAAAACCCATTTCGAACCCGCCTGTTGACATCCCTAATTTCATTACGTGGACGTGTGTATCTTTGGTTAATTGGGTCAAATTAATATGAATCTCATTTCAATTGTCTCATTTTTTTTATTTTTTTTTTGTTATCTAACTTCAATGGATACATTTTAATTTTTGATAAAATTTACTAAATATAAACTTATTTAACAAAGGTAAATCAATTTAATTAACTTTATAATATATAACACCACACATCATCGTGTAGGACTCAATAAAAAACCGTCTATTTATATCTTTCTTCTCATGAAACAATTTTTTTTTTTTTTAATGTACATTTAAAACTCTATTATTTTTATAAAATTAATTTATCTTAATTATAAATAAATAAATAAATATGTTTTTATTTATTTGTATTAATTAATTTTTTTTCTACAAAATAATATTTGTATTGTATATATTTTATTGAGATATACATATTTCAAATTTATTTTATTTATATATATTAATTCTTATTTTAAAATTACTAACCATTCTATTTATATAAAAACATAAGAAAATAATAGTACTATAATTAATTAAACCACCTTACTTTAAATAACGTGTCCCAAATGAAACAAATCATCTCAAATGGAACGGAGGGAGTATAATATTGATTTAATATATATAATATAAATAAATAATATATATAAATATTTATATGTATATACTTTTATATATTATACGTTGTATTATAAATATATTATATTATATTTCTTCCGTTTCAAATATTGTACAATACTCCATCCGTCTCACATAATTTATTTTTATTTTTTATTTTCGTCCGTCCTACATAATTTATCATTTCTTTTTTTAAAAAAATAATTATACACTTTAATCATATTTTAAATATCATAATTTATCAATTTCTTAATCTTAATTAAATTATTTAGTTATTTTAATCTTAATTTATAATTATTTTTATCAAACAATAATTATTTTTACTAATATATTTCTTAATTACTTAGTAATCATACTTTACTTAAATTCTCGTCTCTACAGTAATATGCCCAAAATATGTGGAATGGAGTAAGATGTTTGGACGCAGTATATAATATATGATGTCTTTTTTTTATTAAATATTGATTGAATCAAATCAACATCACTTTTACTTTCATTTATTTTTGCTTTCATTTATAATTACGCGGTTACAAACAAAGTTATTCTATTACCTCACTCCCACAACCATACAACCATAATTGTATAAGAGGTAAAATTTTTATAAATTAAGTTGTGAGACATCGTAGTTTGAATGTAAATTCGCTCCGAGAGTTTGGGTATGTTCTTTTTGCAAGAAAAACTACACATTTTTTTAAAAAAAAAATTAATATATTATATACAATTTTTATTTTTATATTATTCAACAATTTTTTTTATATATTTTATAAAAAAAAATTATTTTAAATTCCTTCATAGTTCAAATCCCAACACCTACAGTTTTACTCGTTATACATGATTTGATTAGCATCACTTTCAAATAGCGGCTACAAATTATATAAAAAAAAAAATTGAAAATGAAAAACTGCACAAGCGTTGCCATTGCCATAATAACTACACCAACTTCCATCCATCCATGGCCTCAACAAATTCACCTTCAATTTCATGAAGATGAAGATATGAATGACGTCATCATTGAAAAGGATTCATCATCCATCCGTCGGTACCATCACCAACCGTCGGTGCTCTTCTCTTCTCTCATCTGCTCTGCTGTAATGTCTTCTTTACGCTAACCCACCCCACCCCACCCCACCCCACTTTTGTTGTTTTCCTCTTCATCATTTCTTCAACAAACCCTCCCCCTCCCCCTCCCCCACACTCTACCTTCCATTCTCTAATTACCTTCTCAAGAACAACAACAACAATGGAGGAGAAGAGCCGCACCGGTGGGTGGTGCGGCTGGTTGTTGGCCGCCATAGTCATCCTCGCCGTTGCCTTCGCAATTTTCTACGCAGTCGAGCACAAGAAGCACAAATCCGACGGAGGACCCGCCCCCGTCCCCGGCCCCCCCGGCGCCATTACTAAGAAATACGCAGACGCTCTTAAGATCGCAATGCAGTTCTTCGACATACAGAAATGTACGTATCTTCCTCTCGCAAATGTCGTCGATATATTCCACTACACTAATTACAGATCTGCTTGCTTAATTTTTACCCCAAATGCCTTCCAATTCCGCAATTAGAAATTCCTCGCCGGAACCCTAATTTTGAAATTAGGGCTTATAGTTCCTTAATTTAGGGCAATGAAAAAATCGATCGATTCATTCATTCATTCTTTGATTGAGCATTGCAGCGGGGAAATTGGAGAACAACAAAATATCATGGAGAGGCGATTCTGCTCTAAAAGACGGCAGCGAAGCAAAATTAGATCTCTCCAAAGGAATGTACGACGCCGGAGATCATATGAAGTTCGGTTTTCCGATGGCGTTCACCGCCACCGTCTTGTCGTGGACGATCCTCGAATACGGCGATCAAATGAAATCCGTGAACCAGCTCGAATCCGCCCGGAGCTCCCTCAAATGGATCACCGATTTCATCGTCAATGCGCATCCAAAACCCGACGTTCTCTACATCCAAGTCGGGAATCCGACGGCCGACCACAGCTGCTGGGAGCGGCCGGAGGCCATGAAAGAGCCGAGGCCGCTAACGCAGGTGAATACGTCTTCTCCGGGGAGCGACGTCGCCGGAGAAGCCGCCGCAGCTCTGGCTGCGGCGTCTCTGGTTTTCAAAACCTCCGATTCGGCGTATTCGTCGTTACTTTTGAAGCACGCGAAGCAGCTATTCGCATTTGCCGATAAGCACCGCGAATTGTATAGCGTCAGCATCCCCGAAGTTCGAGGATTTTATAACTCGACGGGCTACGGCGACGAGCTTCTTTGGGCCGCCGGTTGGCTCTACCATGCCACGGGAGATCAGACATATATCGAATACGTCACGGGGAAGAACGGTGACGATTTTGCGAATTTCGGGAGCCCGACGTGGTTCAGTTGGGATAACAAGCTCGCCGGCGCGCAAGTTTTATTATCCCGAGTTAGCTTCTTTGGGCACAAAGACGTCGCGAGCGATAGCGTCGTCGGGAAGTATCGGGACTCGGCCGAAGCCGTCATGTGTGGGCTTTTGCCGAAATCTCCGACCGCCACCAAGAGCCGGACGGAAAGTAATATCTTCGTCATCGTCGTCGATGCTTTTGTAATTATTCGGTTTATTTTTTTAGTACTGCTAGTTTGTTTTACAGCTCTACTTATGCAGATGGCTTAGTGTGGATAAGCGAGTGGAATGCGCTTCAGCATCCGGTGGCATCGGCTTTTCTAGCGGTTATTTATAGCGACTACATGCTTACGTCGCAAACGGCGAAGATATCTTGTAACGGGCGGAGTTTCCGGCCGTCGGATCTCCGGAAGTTTGCAATGTCGCAGGTGCGATTTGTCGATTCTTGTTTACGATTATTAGGGGTGTCATAATTAAACTTGACCCGAAAAATGAACCCGCTCGAACTGAAATTTTTCAGGTTCGGGTTTGGGTGTCTCGGATTTGTAAAAAATCGGATTAATCCGAACTCGAAACGAAAAAAAATTGGTGTCGTGTTCAGGTGTTTCAAGTTGATTTGATATCCCGAAATATACAAATCAAGTCGGGTTTCGGGTTTCGTATTTTAGGTTGACCTAAAATTATTTATTTTTATTATTATTATTATTATTTTAATTTATAATATTTATATTATTTAAAAATTAAAATAAAAATGAATTTTCTTTAGGTTAATTTTAATTCTTTTAAGTTTTCGTTCGTGTCGGGTTTGTTCGGATTTCGGGTGACCTGAAACTAATTCAGATCAACCTGAACCCGACTTAAACGAATTCGTGTCGTGTTCGGATCTAAGGTCTAGGATTTCAGGTCAATCTTCGGGTTCGGGTTGACAATTTTTTTGTTACCCCATGGGTCAACTGGATACAAACACGACCTGAAAATATGAATTTACACCCATAGTGATCATGCATTTGTTTCCTTAAAACTTACAAAAAAAGGTTCGATCTTTTAGGCGGACTACGTGTTGGGCGATAATCCGATGAAGATGAGCTATTTGGTCGGGTACGGCGACAAGTATCCGCAATATGTTCATCACCGGGGAGCCTCGATTCCAACAGATGCAAAGACGGGGTGCAAAGACGGGTTCAAGTGGCTCGAGTCGACGGATCCGAATCCTAATGTTGCGATCGGAGCGCTCGTAGGCGGGCCTTTTCTCAACGAGTCGTTTGTCGACTCGAGAAACAACTCGATGCAGACTGAGCCGAGCACGTACAACGGCGCCGTCGTTGTCGGGCTGCTTTCGAGCTTAGTCACAACGTCGTCCGTCGTCCGGTCTTTCACTTGAACCCGGTCCGCTCGTCGAACCGGCCGTATAAGCAATATATATATGTATGTACGTAAAGGTTGTCTTGTATGTATGTATGTAAGATCTAGTGTAAATTTTGCAATAGTTGTTTCTCGTGTGGTTTGGATATATATATATATATATATACATTGTTTTGTTTATTTTACTACTTTAATTCATTTTATGCTATTTATTTTTTAAAAAGTATCATATAAAATATATTTTATTTTTTTTCACTAAACATCAAATAAATTATTAATTCTTTTATTTTTTTAAATTTTCAAATTTTCAAAAACTTTCTAAAACTTCTGTTAAACAAAGCCTAAAATGAGCTTCAAAATCCCCAAGCTGCAAAATGGAGAAGGGACTAGGGACAGGTCTACTAAAGCCCAAAATAGTAGTTCAGATAGCCCAAAATGGCTATTCATTACCTATTTGTGTTTGAATATAAGGTCTGGAATAATAAAATTTTAAATTAAATATATTTTTTATACTTACTCTGTTCCATAAGAAAATTATTTTTTTACTTTATTTTTATATTTTGAAACAAGAATATTATTTTTTAATTAGGAACTGTATTTTTTATCTAACGTAATAAATCTATTTATAATTTATTTAACAGAGATAATTTTATTTTATTTTTATTACAAATCAATATAATAATATTTAAAAATCTACATATAAAACAAAAGTATTGGTAGTATAATATTTTAAATAATATATATATATATACTTAGTTTGGTATTTTTAGGATATATATACTAATGTCTCAATAAATATTTGATATGAGCTAAAATAATAAATAAATAAATAAATTGAGGTCTGACCCAATCACTGTAAAAAGATATCAATTTTTTCCGTTCTTAAATCCACTTTTTCCATTACTAGAGACGGAATTAGTGATGGTATTATGCTAGCTACGTGAACTTTAGGAATTGAATTCCCTTATAAATATACTTATTATTTTTATTTTTTTTTGTAATGAATTGTGACTTGACCTCAAAGAACTCTTGCATTTATTTATTTTTCCCTTTATTATTTTCTTACTTTCCTTTTGTTTTCCTTGCACTTTATATTATCTTACAGATTTTTCTTTCATTTCCTTTATTTTGCTTCAGCATTTTATATTTTTCACAATAACTTTGTCTTCCATTAGTGCAACCATCATATAAATATATATAGATAGATATATTTTTTTTTAAGCTTTATTCAGTTTTGAAGTGAAATTTCGACCAATAACAAATGGATCATTCAAATTAAATTTGCTTGAGGGCAAAATATATAAGTTAATAAAAACCCACGTATTAAATATAATATTAAATTTTAAAAAAAAGTAAATATTTGAGAATATACCTGTTCATAGATGATTACTTTTTTCAAAATTGAAATATATGAATTAATGGTAAGTTTTTATTATCTAAGTCACGAAGCATTGCCAATATTGTCTTGAATCCAGCTAGATTGGATTGAGGTTGTATTCAAACCATAACTTGATTCTAGAACCCATCATTTGAGTTTTTGAATCAGGCCGGATAGTAAAATTCAAATAAATTTATATTTAAGATGAATAGAAAAAATAATATATATATATATATATTTTGTGTTGAAAGAAATATTGTGCCTCTAAAATTAATTTCTACCGGGATTGGTGATTTAAAATTTATTTAAATTAGAGGAAGTTTAAAAAAAAATACATCATCATATTTATAAATTATTATATTCAATCTTGTATATTTATTCATCCAGAAGTAAAGACAAGTCTCTTGAAAAAAAAAAAAAAAAAAGTTGAGAATCAACTCGATGTATGAATCAAAGTAATAGATAGACGGGAACTATGTCGCTCTATTTGTAAAATTTTGTACCTCTGATGGGAAAAATCATCCAACAATGACCTCATATTCGCTGAAAAAAGGATATTGTGGAATGCAAAAATTGAATACTAAATGACATGATAAATGTCGTAGTGATAAGTTTAAGATTATCCTAGAATATGTGGAGGGAAGTTGTGTAACAGTAGATTATATTTTAAGGGTGTGTTTGGCTGGGGGTTGGATTTTTTTTTTGTTGAGATTTAAATAGTAAAAATTTTGAATTGAAATAGTTGTATGATATGTGATTGATGTAATGTTTTGAATGTAAAATTAATTTTTAATATAATATAAAATTTAAAAAATAGATATTTGATTTGATATTTCTAGAATTTTTTTTTTTTTAATAAATAGTAAAAATTTGAAAATATTTGATAAATGAATAAGAGTTGTGAAAAAGCATAAGCGTCTTACAAATATCTTTAAGTTGCGAGTGTTTGACTAAAGTCGAAATGCATTTGCTCATCAAAAAGGTTTCTTCATTCCATATTTATAATGTATGCACTCAATAATTGTGTGGCTTGTTTTTTCATTCCAAAAAAAAAATACCTCTAACATAAGTTAATGGACTATTACGGAGTTTAGGAATGCTACTTTTCTTGTAAATATCATTTCTTGTAGAAATAAAGATGTTCTTGAAAGTTCTAAATACCCAACATTTTAAATTGTATTTTTTTGTTTATCAATAATTCAAACAACAAACAGATCACAACTCTTAACACAATAAATTTTAATAGATTGATCACTATTCCAGTGTATTTATTTTTAGTATTTAGAATTGAATTTTGGTAGTGTAATATATCATTATGGAACCGTTATCAGAACATACTCTTCAAAATATTAACGAGGAAAAATCCATTTGAAGATTAACGAAAAACGAAAATCTAGAAAAATTTCTTGTATTCGTCTTAGGTTGAAGTCTTCTCATTCATGCTAGATTTTTGGAACCGAAGATAATTCTCTAAAGTATTTTCAGTAGCTTGCTATGTTGATGAATGCTAATTGTTGGCCCAAAAATTTCACTCATAACCAAATAACAACGTTTCAAAACCCTCAATAATCAATTGACAACACAAAAAATGAACAACATCAAAATACTCCTACACAGACTTACACAAACATATATATTCAGCTACAGACGGTTTATGAAACGATCAAAACCAAATATATATATATATATATATATTCAATTGATGAATGCTAATTGTTGGCCCAAAAATGTCAATCAAAACCAAATAACAACGTTTCAAAACCCTCAACAATCAATTGGCAGCACAAAAAATGAACAACAAATAAGCACAACATCAAAATACTCCCAAACAGACTTACACAAACATATATATTTAGCTACAGAAGTTTATGAAACGACGCAGACTTTGTAAACAAAAAAGTGAAATACACAAAATTGATAACCCAGTTTGGACACCAATCAATCAAAATTCAATACAAAATACTTTTTTCGTCCGTCTCTAAGGTCACATTTACATTTTGCGTCATCGTACTTAACATTAAAAATATTCTTATATTTGTATAACTTTTTTTGTATAAATATCCTTCTATTAGTATTATAAGACACTAATAGAAGTATTTTGCAATTTTTTTAATATATACTATGTCTTGATATAATAATTAATATTCAAATATCAGCATGCAAAAAGTAAATTAGACCCTTAGAGCCGGACGGAAATAGAAGAATTAATTTTCAACACTAAAGTCTTTGTTGAACCATAAAAAGAAAAGGGATTCCAAAAAGTTTTAAAGAAGAGAATGCGACTTAATACTCAAACCTAATACCCTACAGACTAGGCTCGACAGGCAAGTCACATTAGGCGAACCATGTGTGGCAGATGACCTAATGTGTCGGGAGTTTGAACCCATAACACGTCCAACCCCCACACCATTAGGTCGTCCCTTACGGAGGAATGTGTACCTGCATGAAGCAGAAAAATCAATACAATGTAGTTGTAACTTTGTAGTTGTAACTTTGCTGGTATATGTTGTACTGTACTTTTGCGGAAAAAAAAGAAAGGAATATTCCCAAATTATAAAAAAATGTAGGCTAGGTTAAATATATATTGGTGTATCGTTTAAATTGTATTTTAATATTATGCAATTTATTTTGTGATATGTCTGAAATTCAAACAACAAATAAATAACAGTCTGAACACATTAATCTCTAATAATTTGATTATTAATTGTTCTAATGCATTTAGTATTTTGATTAGATTTTTATGCAATATATATATATATATATTGCATTTTGGATACGTTACAATTGGAAGGATACTCAGAGGCTGTGTTTGTTTGGGGGATTGGATTTTCAATACACTATTCATCCTATTTTTTCTTCTAAAAAATATCAAATCAAACACATATATTATACTAAAAATCAATTTTACATTCAAAATATCACATCAACATTTACTTATATCTCATCGTACAACTATTTAAATTCAAAATCTTTACTATTCAAATCTCAACTCAAAATCTAAATCCTGCAAAAACCCACCCTAATCCAATGCATAATTTACACAACTTGAATATGCTTGCTTACTTGCTAGTCACCATATATATATATATATATATATATATGTACATATCCGCTTTAAAAATATCTAACACATTTTTTATTTAAAATTTTACAATTATATTAACAACGTATGCTTTTGAATAATTTAACAGTTTAAAAATATTTTGAACTCTATTATATTTAAACAGTTTTTTAATAAAAAACTATTTTTATAATGATTCATCCAAATATAAAACTAAAATTTTGGCTTTTGTTTCTATTTTTAACTTCTACTTATTTTTTTAGGTTAATTCAAACAGTTCTATTTTTAACTTCTACTTATTTTTTAGATTAATTCAAACAGTTCTATTTTTAACTTTTACTTATTTTGTAGGTTAAACAGTTCTATTTTTAACTTCTTCTTATTTTTTAGATTAATTCAAACTATCCTACTTTCGTTAGACTTAAAATAATAATAATAATAATAATAATAATAATAAAACCTATTCTTGTTGCTCTAATGCTTATCCATAATAATAATAATAATAATAATAATAATAATAGACAAACATGAGTTTTATCTCAACAGAACGGAGGCATCAACTTTTATCTCTAAAAAAAATATACTATATAATAATTTAAAAAAAATAACTTCTTTATCTTAATAGTCACTAAAATGAATGAAATGTTATATATAGGAATTACTACAATATAGTGTTTATTTGCCCAACAAAATATTATGTTAATTTTCTTATAAATTCACAAAAAAAAATAAAAAAAATGA